CCCACAATCCGGGTCCTCATTTTACCCACCTCAGAAGGATGGAAGGCTGAGTCAACCCTGAGCCGGTGAGATTTGAACAGCCGAACTGCAGAACTAGCAGTCAGCTGAAGTAGCCTGCAGTACAGCACTCTAACCACTGCGCCACCTCGGCTCCTTGCAGTTAGTTTATATTTGCTTTCAAGAAGAACTTTGCTAAAGTTATATTCTCTCTTGTTCTATTAGAGGCTTATTTGGTGCCTCTTTAAAAAAAAAAACACTTCCTGACATGTAATGGCTGTTCAGTTTTGGGGTGGAGCTTCCTCTAGCATGACATGATGATTATGGCCATTTTATCTTGTTCATTAGAGGAGAGAGACAGATTCAAAAAAACCCTTTTCAGCTGGTATGTTTAGGGAGTGGAGAGGTACATTTAGTTTTAAAATCTTGCCAGGTTTCTTTTCAGTCTTGATTCCCCACCCCCAAGCTCTACCATGTAAATACCAATTTAAAGGAGAAGGCACTCTGTTGTAATTTAAATACCACTTCCTTCATAGAACTTGTAGTTCTTTCCTTTTCAGATTCATATCTAGAGCCAGCTTATTCTCCATTCTCAGCCCCTCCCTTCTGACATAGTTGCTCAGTAATGTTTAACATTTTGTTTGCTTTAGTGTTGTTCAGAAGGCTTCCTGTGCGGCTTTCCTTTTACAAGAGAGCTTGAAATATGTGCTAACCGCAATTTAAACTGAGTCACCGAGAAGAGGTGGGGGTGGCAAACACTTCAGACTCTGAAATTACAAACCATTCAATTTTATTTTTCGGGGAAAAATATTTCCTAACTCAGTAAAGACTGTACAGTCCTTGATGCTGTCTGAGCTTAGTTGTATGCTTGGATATTTGGATGATACCTACCCAACTAGGTAATATCATGAAATATTTGCAAGCAAATAGCCATGCTCAGCACCATGGGCTCCACAGTTCAACCCTGAGCTACAAATATTCCCTTCTATTGACATCAGTAAGGATTGGGCAAGTGAATGCAATGCTGGGTTTAGTTGGAAGAGGAAAAATGAAGGGTGGGAGGGATGGAACGGAGCATAGTCCTCAACTTACAACAGTTCTTTTAGCGGCTGTTTGAAGTTACAATGGCACTGGAAAAAGTGATTTGTGACCGTTTTTCACGCTTATAACCGTTGCAGGATCCCCATGGTCAGGGGATCAAAATTTATACGCTTGACAGCTGACTCGTATTTATGACGGTTGCCATGTCCCGCGATCAAGTGATCCCCTTTTTGTGACGACCTGACAACGCAAAGTCAATGGGGAAGCCACATTCACTTAACAACTGCGTGACTAACTTAAATTGCAGCGATTCACTTAACTGTGGCAAGAAAGGTTGTAAAATGGGGCAAGGCACTTCACAAATGTCTCACTTAGCAACAGAAATTTGGGACTCAGTTATGGCCCTAAGTCGAAAACTGCCTGTGGTTTGGAGAAGGGCATAGCTGACTAGAAAACTAGACACGCTTGCTTAAGCATTGGCACTCACTTGTTTCCCAAGCTTCTCACAGCCTACCCAGAGCCAACTTCTAAGTTAGGACAGTGGGAGGAAGACCCCGTAAGTGGTAATTTACAGACCATTTTGCTTTTCCTGTTTTGGGAGAGGTGGTATTGTGCCTGAGATTCTCCAATACGGATTTTATACCG